TGCTATTTTAGAGATTAACTCTGCATTTTGATGTTGAAAACGCAGAGTTAAGCCTGGGCGTTTTGACTCTGTAATGCAGAGGCGAAACTTAGGCGGGCTTGGCGAGCTTCAGGCTAAGTCCAATGTTCTGACGAAGTCCAGTCTTGCAAACGGACTTCAGAATACAACTTGCTACGAAGAACAGGTCATAACTTTCAAACCGTACGTCGGAATTGGACGAATTACATATGAAAATCGGCTATCTCGACGAGACGGGGTCATCCGAACCCAGCCGAAGGCTTCGGTTCGCTTCCTCCGTTTTGCCAAATTCCTTACGGTTTGAGAGATATCTGCATTCTAATATGAAGAGACCGTCAATTTGTAGTCTCTTTTGCTAGAGCTTTGCACAGATCGTCCTCTTGTAATCTTCGTCTTGGCTCTTTGAAAATATGAGAGTCGTCAGATTGTAACTCCCGATGTTGATTGTGAATGCTGTTGAATTGGGGCCTTCATTAGTTGTTGTGAAGGTCGTCAGATTGTAACCTTCTACGTGAATGTCCTCAAATTGTAGCCTTCTGGAAGTCGTCAGATTGTAACTTCCATCATCGGTGTTTGATGGGGGATTAACTATCTATTGTGATTTTTAGACAGCCTACAGTCTATAACATCATCACTTCTTCTAAAATCTTCCACTATTCTGTTACGTCTGCTAATCTCGATCATGAATTCTTTACAATATATACTCTCCCTGCATTTTGTGGCATAGAGTAATCGTCTGCAAAGTTTAGCAGAATTTCTCTAGAACATAAGTTGCTTCTCAATGGGTATAGCCTCCACCTCATCTTCCTTTTCAAAAGAATCGTCAATATGCTTTGCAATGATCTGAAATTTCTAAGAGATTAATAGAAAATAGGACTAGATATAACATGGAAATTGTTTACAGTTAACATAAAATGAGTTAGACTTAATAGAAATAGAATTAGACTTAACAAAAAATAAATTAGACTTAACATTAATTAAATTGGACTTATCATGAACTGATATAGACTTAACAGGAACTGAAGTTAGACTTAACAAGAATTATAGACATAATATGATATTAGACTTAACAGTAACTGAAGTTAGACTTAACAAAAAATAGATCTAGACATAATAGAAATTAAATTAACATGAATTAAATTGGAATTAACATGAAGTAAAAGTAGACTTAACATGAACTGATATTAACATGAATTGGACTTAACATTAATTAAATTGGACTTAATATGAACTGATCCGATATTAGACTTAACATGAACTGAAACTAGACTTAACATTATTCAAAATTGGACTTAACATGAACTGATATTTAGACTTAAGATGAACTAATATTTAGACTTAACATGAACTAAAATTAGACTTAACATGAATCGAATTGGACTTAACATGATACTTACATAGCCTATTGAGTAATTCTTCTTGGCTTCCTCATTCTTCGCCTTTCTCTTTGGCCTCTTTCCACTAACAAGGCGTTTAGGCTTATGAGGCTTAACTTCTTTCCTCGGTACTAGGGGTGGCAATCTGCTACTTTTGGGACTTGAGCCCTTATCAATCCTCCCATGAGGCTTCTTTGATGGGTATTTTGAGAGACAAGGCCCAACTTCCACAATATGCTTCTGAACTAAAGTTATTGAAGCTCCTTTTACCTTTGCTGTAATTGTCTCCTTCCTCAAAGAGCTTACTTTCTCACCCTCTACTATCCAATTTGTCATTGGAGGCTTGAATCTGTCGCTATAGGCATATCTATTTATGCTAGTCATCTCGTAGTACCAAAGCTGTAAAAAATACAATCACCATTCCAACAATTACAAATTGACCATATTCACCTTTAACATTAAAACAATTAGACTAAATGTGAAATACCTTACACATAATATTAAGTAATTTAGGATTAACATGAACTAAATTAGACATAACATGAATCAAAATAGACTTAACATGGAACTTACGGGTATTAGTGGCATGCATCCAGGGATATATGTAACCCCTGGCTTCTTCCAGCCCTCCAAAGCAACTTTAATGCCTCTAATAATTTCTGTATAAATGAATTGACCCCATGCAACTCTTTTCACCCTCTCAATGCTATCCACGTACTTGAATAATAGTCTAGGGATACCTTCCCTGCTTCTGGGGCACCATATCATCGAGCACTGATAAAGAATTTGCACTAGAACAAAGTCTTGGATATCCTTCTTTTCTTTTGATTCCACAAGACTTTCTACTAGATCTTTCAGTTTTGAAAAGTTTAGCAAAATATTCCACCCAAATTCTGCACCAAATAGAAAATATGTCATTATCAACATCATAATAGCTCAGTACCAGCTCAAGTGTTGGACGATCAAGTGCAGGAGCGCCAAATAGAATGTAGTGCTCAAATATGGATCCACAATATGCATCCTTCTGCCACTGACATATCTTTGGGGCAAGACGCTTCATAAATTCATAATAAGCCTCAATAATGGCCGTGGGCCTATTTCTACAGCATCACCAATTTTTTTCCTAAAATAAAATTAAATGTACAAGTTGAATTAGACTTAACACGAACTAATATTAGACTTAACATGAACTGATATAGACTTAACATGAACTGTTATAGACTTAACATTGACTGTTATAGACTTAATGAAATCAGAATTAATATAAAATTAGAATTAACATGGATTGTTATAGACTTAACATGAAATTAGAATTAACATGGACTGTTATGGACTATTATAGACTTAACATGAAATTAGAATTAACATGGACTGTTATAGACTTAACATGGACTGTTATGGACTGTTATAGACTTAACATGAAATTAAAATTAACATCAAATTAGAATTAACATGGACCCCAAATTAACATGGACTGTTATGGACTGTTATAGACTTAACATGAAATTATAATTAACATGTACTGTTATAGACTTAACATGGACTGTTATGAACTATTATAGACTTAACATGAAATTAGAAATAACATGGACCCCAAATTAACATGGACTACTATGGACTGTTATAGACTTAACATGGAATGTTATAGACTTAATATGGACTGTTATAGACTTAACATTGACTGTTATGGACTGTTATAGACTTAACATGAAATTAGAATTAACATGAAATTAGAATTAACATGGACTATTATAAACTTAACATGGACCGTTATAGACTTAACATGAAATTAGAATTAACATGGACTGTTATAGACTTAACATGGACTGCTATGGATTGTTATAGACTTAACATGAAATTAGAATTAACATGGACCCCAAATTAATATGGACTGTTATGGACTGTTATAGACTTAACATGGACTGTTATAGACTTAACATGAAATTAGAATTAACATGGACTATTATAGACTTAACATGGACTATTATGGACTGTTATAGACTTAACATAGACTGTTATGGACTTAACATGAAATTAGAATTAACATGAACCTCAGTTTAGATAACATGGAAATCAGTTTAGATAACATGAACCTCAGTTTAAATTGGATAATATGCAAAAGGGGTTAAGTTCTTTAATTAAGAAAAAAAACCTAGCACTTACTTCTTTTGGGGGTTGGATTCGTTGGAACCATCACTTGCTGGTCTTCTTTTTTGGCCTCGTCCTCATACTTCACCCCTTCGCATGACCAAAAGGGCCTTCGACGCTTCCTCCTTGCTTCCAATCCCAGATGATTCACGAAGCGTGCCCGACGACTGTGATTTGGCTTCTTCTTTCTCCTGCCGTTAACGTCGATGCACGACTTCGAAATCGTTAACAGATGCTTCCTTCGACGATAGTTTCACGGCGAAAACCCTAACCCTAGATTGAAATTCGAGATGACAGAAATGGAGTTTAGGAATTTTCGATGGCTCCTCAACAGTAGAAGAGAAAGAGAGAGGGAGTACTTGAGTGGAGAAGGGTGCGGTTACCAACTTCGGTCAAATTAGAGGGTAAAATTGTAACTTCAACTTTGGTTTTCTCTCTCTCTCATCGACTTTGGGGCCTTAACACAAATACACAATGTATTTAGGGCTAAATCACATGGCCCAAAATACAGAGGGCCAGGTCACATGGGCTTCCAATATTTGAGACCTTGACACAATTTTCCTTAAAATAAAAAAGAATTAAAATATAATTATCATATTTTTATTATTATTATGGATAATTAAAGAAAAGTGAAAATATAATTATTTAATTTTTTTGAATTATCGATAATTATAATTTAATTAAGAGTACCAAATATTTAATTTAAGATTACCAAATATTTGATTATTATTAGAAATTTCTAATTTTGAATTGATTTAATTAGATAAGGACTCTAATTATGGATAGAAAATACCCATCTTATAAGAATTATAATTTAATATTAAAATAACATATAAAATGTGCCATTGATTATGATTATCAAATATTTAATTATAATTAGAAGTTTTCAATTTTAGATATATTTATTTTATGAGGACTATAATTATGGATAGAAAATAACCATCGTATCACAATTCTTCTAATTTAGTATTAAAATAATATTAACACGTGCCATTATTTTATGGGCTAACATGGCATTCTTAGTTGCCTTTAAGAGTGCTACCAATTTCTTATTAGACATAAAGGATGGATATATTTCATCTAGGAACCCGTGACATCTCGTTCGTATAAGTTTGATTTTTGGTTTAGCGATATTTCAGTCCTTTAAATTTTTCTAATTTAGAGAAATTTCTATCCTCTAAATCTAGTTAGGGGCATTTTGATTTTTCTAAAAATTTAAGTCTCTAATTTAGAGATCTATAGATCCTTTCGGTTCGATTTCAGAGACCCTTCCATCTTGTAAATTAAAATTACGTTTGATATTAAATTAATTTGTCTACAGCCCATACAAGGCCTACTTAGAGAAAGAGCCCAGCCGAGCCCAACTCGTCTCCTCCTTCCCCTTTCTTTTCTTCTCTCCGGATAAGGGAATCTCTGTTTTGTAAAACCCCAAAAGCGTCAACCCTCAAAGAAAAAAAAAATGGCTTCGGCTCTTTCTCTCCCCTCTTCTCCTCCTCCTTCTCAACTCCACACTCTCTCCTCCTCCTCATCATCATCATCAACTCTCCTCTCTCCATGGCTCAAACCCCCCAAACCCCGAAACCCATTATCTCACAACAAGCTCTCTTCTCTCTCCCCGAAGCTCTCTCTCCAAACCCAACAAGCTTCAATCCAACAAAACCCAAAACCAAACCCAGACCCAAACCCTCCATTCAAAAACTCCATCTGGGTCAACCCCAACAGCCCCCGAGCTCCCCTCCTCCGCCGCAACTCCTCTGATTCTCGATACTCTCGCCTCTCTAAGCTGTCTCAATCCCTCAATTCCCTCGATCTGGATGAATCCGCCATCGCGAATTTACTCAGCTCTCTGGGCTCAAACCCAAGTGAGCAGGATGCGGTCATTGTGCTCGATAACATGGAGAATGCGACCAATGCCCTTGTAGCTCTCAATTGGTTTCAGAACAGAATTAAGGTCAATCGAGAGGTAATTTTGTACAATGTCACTCTTAAAGTTATTAGAAAGTCTAAAGATTGGAACTTGGTAGAGACCCATTTGAAGGAAATGCTCGAAAAGGGGATTAGACCCGATAACGTCACGTTTTCGACTGTGATTAGCTGCGCTAGGTTCTGTAATTTGCCTGAAAAGGCTGTTGAGTGGTTTGAGAGGATGCCCGAGTTTGGATTGAACCCTGATGATGTAACTTACTCTGCAATGATTGATGCTTATGGTCGAGCTGGGAATTTAGAGATGGCTCTAGGGCTTTATGATCGTGCGAGGAAGGAAAAATGGCGTCTTGACCCTGTTACTTTTTCGACTGTAATTAGGGTTTATGGCACTTCGGGTAATTTCGATGGTGCACTTAATGTGTATGAGGAAATGAAAGCGCTTGGTGTCAAGCCGAACGTCGTGATTTATAACACATTGTTGGATGCAATGGGGAAAGCCGGAAGGCCTTGGCAAGTGAAAACTATTGTTAAAGAAATGGAGAATAATGGGCTAGTGCCGAATAGAATAACTTATGCTGCAATACTAAGGGCTTATAGTAGAGCTCGGTATGCTGAGGATGCTCTTAGAGTTTACGAAGAAATGAAGAAGAAAGGATTTGAACTGAGCATAGTTTTGTATAACATGCTTTTGTCGATGTGTGCTGATATTGGATTGGTTGATGAGGCAGTGAAGATTTTCGAAGAGATGAAAGGGTTACCAGAGGGTCTTAGGCCTGATAGCTGGAGTTATTCGTCGTTGATCACTGTGTATTCTTGCATAGGGAAAGTCTCGGAGGCTGAAGGTATATTGAATGAGATGTTGGAAGCTGGCTTTCAACCTAATATCTTTGTGCTCACTTCACTTATACAATGCTATGGAAAATCTAAGAAAACTGATGATGTGGTTAAAACATTTAATCGGATGTTAGAATTGAATATTGAGCCTGATGATAGATTTTGTGGGTGTCTCTTGAATGTATTGACACAAACCTCGTCAGATGAGGTACATAAGGTGATTGATTGCGTTGAAAGGTCTAACGCTGAATTGGGTTCATTGGTAAAGTTGTTAGTGGATGAGAAAACTGATAAAGAGACGATAAAAGTGGGGGCAGGTGAGCTCCTTAAAAAAGTAAGCAAGGAAGTGAGGAAAGCTTACTGTAATTGTTTGATCGATCTCTGTGTAAATCTCAATCAATTAGATAAAGGTTGTGTGCTCTTAGAACTATCACTTGGAATCGGGATATATAATGAACTTCAATCAAAATCGACAACTCAATGGTCTTTACATGTTAAGGGTCTCTCCTTTGGTGCAGCGTTCACTGCTTTGCGAATTTGGATGAATGATTTGTCGAAGGCGATAAAAGATGGGGAGGAATTGCCTCCATTGCTTGGGATTCATACTGGCCATGGGAAGCATAAATATTCAGAGAGAGGGTTGGCAGCTGTTTTTGAATCGCATTTGAGAGAAATGAATGCGCCGTTTTATGAGGCTCAAGATAAAGTTGGATGGTTTTTGACGACCAAAGTTGCTGTTAAGTCTTGGCTTGAGTCGAGGATTACACCTGAACTTGCTGCTGCTTAGCCTGCAGGGATGGAGATTGTATTGGTATGGGATAGTTTTATTATTCTTATTTTTTTCAATGAGATATCGATCTTATTTTGTTATAGATGGGATCTTATTTTACTATTAGCTCATACTATCTCATCCCCTGTATCTGTTCTCCTGCAATTTTGTTACTGTATAATTGAAGCATTGTTCCATAATGTCAGTGGTTTTGAATCTGAAACAATTTATATCGATGATAGACACCTCATGCTTTTATTTTAGCTTGATGGTTATATTGGTCCCAATGCTTGAAATGAGTCGTAAAAGCGTCGTAATTATCCAATTTTTACTTTATTTTTTCCCTTCATGTCAGTACCTTTATATAGGCACATCGTAAGATAGAAAGAAGAGAGATCAGTTATGTCAAGCTCTTTTTTTTACTTTATTAAATCCATGAGTTCCTTATCTCAAGTTCGCCGTGAACATGAAGATTATCAAAACACAAGAGCATACTGTACTCTGAAGCTCTTGCCTGCATTCAGGATCTTAGAACATTTGCCTGAGAGTCCATATTTAAAATATGTTACACCTTAGATAATTTTGCATTTGTTGCATCTTAACAACTGTATGCAATATGGGACTACTTTGAGGTGCACAATACTTAGAATGCTAATTGTGCAAGGCTCTGTATAGTTTAGCTTTCTTTTTTTTGAGATTTGTATAGAGCTTGACTGGGGTCCTATGTATAGGAGTTTTGGTTTTATTTTATCCGAGTTCCTTCATTTGCTGTTAGGAGATATGTTTGCTCCTAGCTCTTAGTTTAGTTGAGAGGTCCAATTTTGCCAAGGAGTCTGTACGCTAACAGCTATGTGGTAATGAATACAATCCAACTATTCTTACCACCACAGCAACAACTACCCAAAAAACAAACAAACAAACAAACAAACAGAACAAAAAAAAAAGGGTTAATAAATACAATCTAGCCATTCTTACCGAGAGGGGGGAGGGAAGGGAGGGGGGGATAAAAAAAAGGGTTAATAAATACAATCTAGCCATTCTTAGGGCCCGTTTGGTTGTATGTTTTTACCATGTAAAATGATGGAAAGTGTAAAAAAGTGGGTCCCGATGTCAGCTTTCATCACTTTCAATTGTTTGTTTGTAATTGTAAAAATAGTGTAAAGTGGTTTCATATGCTGATGTGGAAAGTGATTTCATAAAAAAAAGACGTGATTTTAGGAGAAAGCTGACATTGAAGTCAGGAAAAAGTAATTTCAACCAATATGATCACTTGAGTAGGGACCACTTTTTATACTTTCCAAACAAACAATTAAAGTTTTATTTTGCAAACCAAACAAGTGTTTTATGATTCCAATGGAATAAAAAACAAACAAAGAAACGTGTAAAAGTGAAAATGATGAGGTGGACAACAACTTTCCAAGTTGTGTCATAAATACAAAACTTTACCAACAACAACCAAACAGCCCCTTACAGAGGGAGGGAGGGAGGGAGAAAAACAAAAAAAAAAGGTTAATAAATACAATCTAGCCGTTCTTACAGAGAGAGAGGGTTAATAAATACAATCTACCCATTCTTAGAGAGAGAGACTTCTGATTCGCGCAAGACTTAGAATGCGAGGGAAAATGATGCTTGGAATGTTATTAAGGATCAATTTTGAACTGCACTCATTATCTGATTTATTTCCCATAAACTCCTTCTAGTCTTTGTTTAGTAGAATTCTGATTTATTTTTATTGATTTTCGGAAGATCTCAGCATGATATGATGATTAGGCACAGGATGAAACTTTGAGCTTGGCGTATACAATCTCAAGCACAACATGATGAGTAGTCAAATGAACTTGATAGGAAGTCTGGTGCTTTGATCAATTTATCATCTTTTACTGACGGTTAGTAGAAAACGCTTTGCCTCTTATTTTAGACTTGACCACATGCTTTGAAATTTAATTTGTAGTTTTAGTCCTAAATTAATTTGTGGCCCATGGGCCTGATTAGGGATGCTAAAAAATAAAAAAATATCTGTGGATATATTCGTATCCGATAGAACACAAGTATGGTTACTAAATATTTATATCTAGTAGGATAGGTTACAGATCCTAATATGTAGTGAAATATTCGGATCCGTATCTGGAATATCTGAATGTATGTTGTTTATACCATTGTGTTTTAATCCTTAGATTAATGGGATTTGCGATTAACTTTGATGATCACGAGATCTAATGTTAGTTTTTAGGTATAACGAACATAGTAATGGACTCTCTTGTATCACGTGAAATATATATATATATATATANTATCTAGCCTTTTCATATCCCTTTTGTGTCAGCATGTATATTCGCATGTGTTATCCTCATCCGTGTCTGATTTTAACGGATATGAATATAAGTTTTCCTTATCGAAAGATATATCTACTCATGTCTGTACGTGATAGGTAAATGAATATGGATGGTAAGTGTGATATATGAGCGGTGTCCTATTCGTTTGCACCCGTAGCGCGGATGGAAGTTTAATCTCTAGCGTTTTTGCTGCAGGTATCCTGTGTATGAAATGTTTACTCCAATATTCTTGCTGTTACGCAAGCAAAATTATGATATGGTTAGCTTTTAATCTAATCGGAAGGGATTTCTCCTGAAGCCGGAGGGAAAAGTTTTGAGACAAATACTTGGTTGTTGTTCGCTAACAATGCATAACCCAAATTCAAAGAATATAGAGGTACGCATTAATCAAAATCGATCTTTCCATTAGACCAAATGTATATGGCCTTTGCCAAACTCATTCCATCGATCAACTTCTAAAATCTGCCCCCTGATTGTGGCTTTACCATTAGTCTTGTGAGCTGGAGAACCAACAAGGCGATGCCTTTGATAAAAATTCTTGAGGTAACATTTTTATGCCTCTCCAGTCTAGCACTGAAACAATCACGCCCCTTTTTTTTTCTTTTATTATTATTATTATTTACTTTTACTGCTTATCTATTTTTGATTTGTCCTCATATGATACCATGATGTTAGAGTTTAAATAGGAGAAAATATCCAGTGGATCAAGTCAAACTGACGTCGGTGGAGGGGAACAATTGATTTTTGCCGCATCATTAATGCCAGGAACGGAGAACACTAGATATTTTCTTCATGATAAGCGTGTCCTGTCCATTCATCAACAAGCCTAATAGATGATTTTCCATCAACTGAAGATTGTTCAGAGAACTGACAAAAAAAATGGAGGGGGGGAAAAAAAAGATTATTAAGGGAAGGATTTTTTGTTCAGGAAAGAAAGAGTACGTATAATACGATTGTTAAATAGGAGAATCTTCTGCTTATGATGGAGACAATCTGGAAACAGAGTGATTGCAACTTTGTAGAAGCATATAGAGATCCTAGGCGATATGACATCCTACCGGTCCCCCAACTACTTAAACCAGATTAGTCATCAAATTAGAGTATGGCTAAATTTACAGTTGGGCCGACTCGCTCTCAACTACTAAAACTTTTGGCTCTTTTCAAAGTGGTGATAAATACGAATTAATTGATCACATCAAACTCTTGGACTCTCTCCTAAGCTCATAGTTCCCATCAAACGCATTAGAACGTATCTATTAACACTTCAATGAGCACATCTAAACATCTTTTTAAATGATACCAGTCACGCAAAGCTTCTTTTACGCACAATATTTGCAAACCTCGGTGTTCATCTTATTACTGGAGTCATTGGCCCAAGCAAAAGCGCAACGATGACGCATAATTCAGTTGGCCCACGCTAAGGCCGACAAAGGGTCATCGTCCCTTTTTGCTTGCTTATTATGCAACCAGCTCATAAATACCATAATTTAACACTCCCCGATCATCAATCCCAACACAACTCCAGTCAAAACATTCACCAATAACCTTTTGTTGCTGTAATTTATAAAGATCAAATATTAACCATCTCATCAACCTCATAATACGTGATACAAACAAAAACAGTAAACGGCGGCCGGTGACTCCTTTCACGTGCTTACTACTTGATATGTCCTAACACGTACCACTAACTAAAAGTGTTACCTTAGTAACACAACAATTAAGCGCGGCTGTACTCTAGATGTGGTGTTGCGTCAATAACACATCTATTGAACAAATGAAGAATAAACCGGCATCGTTGCTCTTGAAAGGAAACTATCGGAGATATATATACGTATAAGTAATGCAAATTACATATTACATGATAGAGCATGAAGCCTGCGGATCCTCTTCGCAAAAGAAATTGTGAGAGTCCTTGTACCCACCATAAACAGGCTGCCCGTAAACCACACCCTGTGGGCCAATTGGGCCTGCTTGGCCTATTGGGCCTTGTGGCATCCAACCATAACCCGAGCCTGAACCCGCTGCGCAACGACAATACCTGTTACCCCCATAGTACCCGTCATACCAAGGTTGACCTGCACAAGCACAACTAGAACTGGACCAAACCGGTCCAGTTTGATACCCAGAATACATGAAAACCGGTTCAGATATCGGAGGATATGCTTCGTATGCCTTGGGTTTATCGGCCTTAGGTTCAGACTCCTTGGGCTTGTCCTCTTTGGATTTGACCGGTTCAGCCGGTTTGTCATCCTTTGGCTTACCAGCCGGTTTAGCATCCTTGGGCTTATCAGCCGGTTTAGCATCCTTGGGCTTGTCATCCTTTGATTTGGCCGGTTCAGCCGGTTTAGCATCCTTGGGCTTATCAGCCGGTTTAGCATCTTTAGGCTTCTCTTTCTCTTTGTTGTCTTTAATTTGGATGTCTTTGATGATATTGCAAGCTTCGCAACATAGTTTCTTGCATACTTTTTTAGGGTTGAACGGGCCGGAGATTGTAACGGAGTTGGATTTTTCGTCGAAAATGATGCTTTGGATGTTCTCTCTCTCTAATATATGAGAATTAATAACTTAGAAACTTCTGTTATAAGTTGGTCTGCGTATATAGTATAAAATGTGAGAGGTAAGAGTTTGAGAGTGTTAATTACCTTGCAGCTTGCATATTGTTTTTCTAATCCTTTTGTAACAACGGTGGCATTGAAGGTCAACCTTCAAGAGTATAGTGGACGTCTGCGATGAAGTCAGAAGAAAGTATTATTTGCCCCCCCAAAAAAAAGGGTCTGAAGAAAATATAATTATAAGCTTCTGTACATCCATTGCTCTGGTATTATAAGGGATAAGTTTGTGATTGATTTAAGAGAAGAAGCGAAAAAGGAAAATTATGTGAAAGAAAAGCAATATTTTCCATTAGAAAAAAAAAAGCAATATTTTGTTTTGGGTAAATTACGCTAAACCCCAAATAACTTTTGGAATTGCAATGCCCCCGATAAACTTTCGCATTTTGCAGACAGCCCCCATCATTTTGAGCCGAAAAGCAACATAAAAAGACATTTTGAAAGTTATTGGGGGTTTAGTGTAATTTACCCAAAAGATATTTAGGTCTTTCTGCAAATGTTATTGGGGATTTAATGCGATTCTGAAAGTTATTAGATATTTACTAGAAAATGCAGAAAGTTCTCGGGGGATTTAGTGTAATTTACCCCCCTTTTTTTTAATAAAAAAATGGTGCTTTACCCTTGTGATTTTGAGGCAGAATCATTCAGGGTGTATATATATGTTGAATATAAACGAAGTAATCTAATTGTGAACTGCCATATATATATAAAAGCTACAAGGAAATGACAAGGGAATCGGAAATTGTCATCACTAACAAATAAAATTAGGCATCACAAATTTGTTTTAGATTTGTATTTGTAGATCACGGGATAGCGGCGGCGTGGAATTATTAGAAACTAAGAGAAACCAGGGGGAAAAAAATCACAAGAGCAATGGAATGAGCCAAAGGATAGTACCTTATCTCCCATAGCTTGAACCTGTGACCGAGAGAGAGAGAGAGAGAGAGAGAGAGATGAGGATGAAGAGAGAGCAATTGAGGAGGTCACCTCAGTTGCTTATTTATTTAGGTGGCTTGTGAGCACAAAAGGGTGACGTCACTGGATGGAGACGTGTGAACCAAATTACTTGGTTTTTACAGGAGTGACACTAGGGGCGCACACACAATCTCAACCACACCCCTTCTTTCATTTGCTACAGTACACAGTGTCATACATGAGATTTTAAAAATCTCATATGGGATCCGGTGCACTGTGGCAAATGAGAGAGGGGGTGTGGTTGAGGATATGGTTGGAGATGCGCCCCTATCATTGTCCTTTTTGCAAAGGGGGGCGCTACAGGCACACCCTTAGACATACCACCAACCACACTCCCCCTCTCTTGCTACAGTGCAGTGACCCTATGTGAGCCCACTATACTGTAGCAAAAGAGAGGAAGAATATGATTGGCGGTGTGCCTAATGGTATGCCTCTATTATTTTCCTCTCGCAAATGCCATGGAGCAGGCTGCCCGGCCCTTCGGCCCACTCAATATGAAAATGCGCTTATACGTACAGCCCACTGGGGAGAATTTGTTTGCTTACATGTGCCGCCATCATATGTCCTTCACATGCATTTGTTAGATCGCCACGTTCACTTGGACTTTAGACTATATATTCTTGACCTGGAAAATATAAATCCCCAAAGAATAACAGTAATCGGGGCTTCCCTGCCCCCTAAATAATTTCTACCGGGTAGATTTCTATAACCCGACAAAAGTTTGGAAATGTCGGCTTAACTCGTAAAACTTTTTCTTCCCTCTGAATCTATTTTCACGTGACCTCCTATACGTTTTTGGCCATCATTCAATAACAGTAATCTATTTTCTACCGGGTTAAGTGGTTTCCAAACTCTTTGGGTGCTAAAAAAAATGGGTCGAATTTTTTGGTGATTTGTAAATTTACACTAATTTCTATGTAGGATCGATCCTATATTCCTATGTGCAGGGTTTTTCTCCCTTCCAGCTGTGGGGCGAAGTGAATGGAGTTGGTATCTGGTGGTGAGCTAGTGGTTTTCATTCTCTTTTCGTTTTTTTTTTTTTTAAGAGAAAGTTGCGTGAGGAAGTACAAAAGGGAAGCTTCTACTGGCCATCATTCAATTGATAAAAGGAGCAAAAAATACTCGTTTGAACTTTACAGATCATGACATTTTTAGGTAGAGCGAAACTCATATGTTGGAAGTAGAAAAAGATTTTCAAAAGAGAAGCTCTTGGTGAATCTGAAGTACTTAAAATACTACCTTTTTCGAATTAAAACGAGTCTTCAACAACCTTTACCACACTTTTAGATTTGCTGAATTTGAATCCATACAATGTGTTAGTTCAAGACTTTCTTATCTTTGCTTATTATATTATCCAAACCAACCGTAAAAAAAAAAGAATATAACAGTGTACCTAAGACGTAGTCTTTTGATTGTTTTCTGATCCCCGTTAGAAATAAGATAGATGATGTAGCTAATAAATATGAGAATTATATATGAATAAAATAAACTAAGGTTGATATCGCTTGATGATGGCCCTAATATTTGTCTTGGGAGATATTATGTACATATAATAAAACAAGTTGATAATGTATTTGAAAAGCTCCAATTGGGTTTTAAGTGTACGACTTATTCTACTACAATTCCCGTCATGCGACTTACACTTCACATTAGGGCCATAATCTGACAGAAGCAAATAATATAAAAATAGGTTGTTTAGAACTTTTATGAATACACATCATAACATTTGAAATTGTAACCTTTTATAGTCAATTCATAAACATTTTAAAGTAAAATTAGATGTCATAAATACTTTAAAAAACAACCGACAACAACTTGGAGCCATTATGATTCCGTAACCACGGTTGAATGTTCCTTTTGAAAAATAGGAGGTAATTAATTGCAGATATGTTCTATGTGTACAGGACTTGGTCACTTATTGCCCCTTGACTTTTTTTGATGTTGAACCCTTATGATTCCCCAAGTTGAATGTTTCTTTTGAAAAATAGGAGTTAATTGTAGAAACATTCTATATATGTACATAGGAGTTGTTCACTTATTGCCCCTTGATTTTTTTAATGTCTAAACAGAATTATCTTCGTGGTATTTATACTCATTATGTGGACGTCACATGACGTTAACGTGTTGTAGAGAGATCTATTGCGGAGAAATTTCTTGTTTTTAATAGATGTTGGGCATTGTAAAAAAATAGCGGCGACGGCGGCTTCTTTGGTTTCTTTCTGCGATTTATGAAAATCCCAATTGTCCCGTTCTCATTTATTGTGGAGAAGGGGTTGGTGTATTTAAAGGGGTTTTCTTTGGTTATTGAAGAGAGAGATTGAACAGTGTTTTATCTTAAAACACCGTTATTGTTTTGAGAGATCTCAAGCTTGAGATCTTCTCTCTTATTTGTAATTTCTTATGGAATAATAAGAAATTATTTGTGCCGCTCCCGTGGACGTAGACAAATTGTCGAACCATGTAAAAAACATCTTTGTTTGTGATTGGCTTGTCATATTTGTTGGATTGTACTCGTGTTGTGTTTGTTAATCTTCTCCCGTGCTTATGGACTCGTTTGGTGTGCGAACACGCTTCCGCAAAGGTGCACAATAGTTTAGAACTTTTATGAATACACATTATAACATTTGAACCTGTAACCTTTTATAGTCAATTCATAAAAAATTTGAAGTAAAATTAGATCTCATAAATACTTTAAAAAACAACCGACAACTTGGAGCCATTATGCTTCCGTAAGCTGTTGGTCTTGAGAGTTGAGACCCAAACCTAGAATCAAAATCAACAATCGCATGAAAATTCAAGAGAGACTGCCACACCCTGGTGTGACGTCTGCCACACCCTGGTGTGGCAGAGTCTGCCCTGTCTGTTATAGGTGTGGTGTCTGTCACACCCTGGTGTGGCAGAGTCTGTCATGTCTGCTATGGGTGTGGTGTCTGTCACACCCTGATGTGGCAGAGTCTGCCCTGTCTACCATGGGTGTGGTATCTGTCACACCCTGGTGTGGTAGAGTCTGTCATGTCTGCCATGGGTGTGGTGTCTGCCACACTAGGGTGTGGCAGACTCGTTTTAGAATCCTAATATGTTTAGGATTATGTTTTGTTATAAATAGAAACACGTCTCTTTAGGGTTTAAGAGAGAAAAAGAGCACGAAAAAAAGAGGGTTTTGAGGGCTCTTTGAGATTAGAAATCTTAGAGAGAGAGAGAGAGGCCAATTATAAGCATTGTAATCTTCTTCAAGTAATCAAAGAATTGTGTGGTGTGGCTCCCGAGGACGTAGGCACGTTGCCGAACCTCGTTAAATCTGGTGTGTTCTTTCTTGTTTACTTTCCTACAAGTTTTTATATTTGATTTGTGGTGAATTTCATCTGGTGTGTTCTTTCTTGTTTACTTTCCTACAAGTTTTTATATTTGATTTGTGGTGAATTTCTTTCTTGCTCAACTGTCAAACATAATATTCGGAAGGGTACGGATTTGATTTGATTATTTCGAATCCCCAACAACTGGTATCAGAGTTTCGTTCAGCAAATTTGTGTGAACGAGAGCCATGACAGAGGAAATTAAATCTAAGATTGAGAAGTTTGACGATTCAGACTTCGCCTACTGGAAGTCATAAATGGAGGACTATCTGTACCAGAAAGACTTGTATTGCCCATTGATGGGTAAGGAAAAGGGACAGAAAAAAAAGAAGTCAAAAAATTGTGTGGTGTGGCTCCCGAGGACGTAGGCACGTTGTCGAACCTCGTTAAATATGGTGTGTTCTTTCTTGTTTACTTTCCTACAAGTTTTTATATTTGATTTGCGGTGAATTTCTTTCTTGCTCAACTATTAAACACAAGATCCGAAAGGGTACGGATTTGATTTGATTATTTTAATTCCCCAACAACTGGTATCAGAGCTTCGTTCAGCAAATTTGTGTGAAAGAGAGCCATGGCAAATGAAATCAAATCTAAGATTGAGAAGTTTGACGATTCAGACTTCGCCTACTGGAAGTCACAAATGGAGGACTATCTGTACTAGAAAGACTTGTATTGCCCATTGATGGACAAGGAAAAAGGACAGAAAAAAGAGAAGTCAGATGGTGATTGGGAGATACTAGATAGGAAGGCTCTAGGGCAAATCCGGTTGTCGCTCACCAAATCAGTAGCCCATAATATTTTGAAGGAGAAGACGATGGTGGGGCTTATGGAAGCACTCGCGAAGATGTACGAGCAACCGTCTACAGCAAACAAGATGCATCTCGTCAAGACTCTTTTTAACCTCAAGATGGCAGAAGGACGATCCTTCACGATGCACCTCAGCGATTTCAACACGATTGTTGATCAGCTTATCTCCGTAGACATCACGTTCGATGACGAAGTGCAGGCCTTTCTACTACTATCGCAGTTGCCGGATAGTCGGGCAGGTTATGTGACGGTAATCAGCAATTCGGCGGGGAAGAAAAAGTTGAAGCTGAGTGAGGTTGTTAGCATGATTCTATCCGAGGAGGTTAGAAGGAAATCATCTGAATCAGAAGGTTCAGGTTCAGCTCTAAGTTTCGAGTAGAGAGGCAGAATCCAGAAGAAAGGAAACCAGAACAGGAATCAGTCAAAATCAGTGAAGAAGAGGTCGAACTCGAAGGTTAGGCCTATCAAAGGGAAGTGTTGGAACTGCGGCCAGGAAGGTCATATGTCTTCAGTCTACAAGAGTCCAAAGAAGGATGCGGGTGAGCAGGAGGCTCATATCGTGCAGGATGCCTTGATCCTTGCTATGGATAGCGACTCGGATTCTTGGATCATTGATTCAGGAGCATCTTTCCACGCCACTGCTAACAGAAAGCTTCTTCAAAACTATGTAGCAGGGGGTTTTGGAAAAGTATATTTGGGGAATAACGAGCCTTGTAATATTGTTGGAAAGTGTGAAGTACAGATTCAGATGAAGGGCTCTAAGTGGACCTTGAAGAATGTGAGACACGTGTCGAAGCTGAAGAGCAATCTTGTTTCGGTGGGACAGCTTGGAACAGAAGGCTATGTTTCTACATT